GCAGATCAGACCAGAGACAGTAGCTGCAACATCGGTTGTAGGTGAACTTGCAAGAGCAAGTATGGGGAGGTCTGAGAATAAGCCAATAAGAAGATGGTCTCAAGGAAATCAGCTCAGACTCATGCTTCTATAGACAAAGTAGGAGTGTTTCTGGCATGGGAAAGAATTCAACAGTGTTAGGTGTTGTCTTGGATACTTTGATGCACTCTCCAGATCGTACTTCAGCAATAAAAAACTGTTCTCCCTGCCATTGCGAATGCCTCCCAAGGATGACCTCCAGCTGCCGGTCCTCTTTAGGAACTGCCTCACCTGAGCAACACTGCCTGGTCCTGGGTCTCACCTTCCAGGGGTAGCTCATATCCACTGACCAACACAGAGGGATAAAGGCCTACCTCCCTTGTCCCAACTTGGGACACTTCTGCAGAGCCACGGCAGCTTCAAATTTCTCTGTAGCATTGGATGAGGCCTAAGTTGAGGGAGATTGTCGCTCGGCTCCTGCCTCTACCCTACCCCGTTTCCCGTCCTCGCCTTTTGCAGGTAGTCAGCCCAAGGCCATTCCTAAATAAATATACTGCTTGCTCACCTTTGTTTCAAGTCTGTTTCTCTGGGAGCCCAGCATGAGACAGATTCTCATTCTTTGTGTCCTCTGTCCCATGAAATTGCCATTCAAGGGTTAGCAGGGCCACACCAACCCATTCATTCACCAAATCCTAAAACAAACTGGTGGTGGGTGAAAATCAAGACTCTGACATCTTACTGACTGAATAAAGCTTTATTTTAATGCAAAATAAAACAAGAAAAATTTGTATATTCATATATAACAACATCCAAAATGTTTTCTTAGTACAAATGGAATCATCTTAAAAAGTCTGTAAAGAATTTATTCTCTACCCCCATCTGCCAAAATGTGATTCACATAATTTATATTCAGAACTTATGAACAGACTTGGTATCACATAAGCACAGGAAAACACGAGAAAAAGTGACTGTATCAACAGCAGGTTTTGTTTCTATGTTCCAGTAGTAAACAGCACTGCAGTCAGCAGAGATGGAACAGAACACGCTCAAGAGCCGAGTCAGGAGATGGTCTGGAGTTAGTTCACTCTCTGCTCAGCTTGGTAGTTAAGCCCAGTCAGGCTGTGTGCGATCCTATTACTATTTCAGGACAGGAGGGAGAAAGGGTTTCACTTGCAAGTTGTAGCTGCATGTGAGATTCTAAGCTTATTTTAGATACCTAACTTTCACTCTCCTTTTTATCAGACAGGTGACTTTGTAGGGGTACTTTAAGAAGAATCCTCTTTATGGTCTCATTGTGGCACAATATCTACCTAAGTCAGTGTGAACTGGGAGTGCAGAGAAATACTACTGTGGGCTGGCTCTGAATCCAACTCCTTCCTGCCTAATTGTACGAAATCTGGGCTTTCTGTTGCTCATGGGCTCAGAAAGCAGTAGGAGGCCTACGTGATTTAGCACCAATTTCAAGGTCGATCACTGTGGATTTCAGAGTTTAATGCTGATAGGAATTTTACAGACACACATTCCTCTCCACACCATACTCTCCAGGTCTCTCTACCCCCCTGAAATTCTAAGATGTCCCTCCAAAGAACAAATGTAGTGGTGACAGGTTAGGAGAACAAACACTCTTAAAAGCTTGATCTCTACGCATAACAACTTACGACAACTCCAGAAGTCACCAGGTAGATTTCTTTCAGAAAATAGGTTTAATTAGAGAAGTTCACATATCTTAGGAAGGAATGATGAATCATGTTTTAATTTTATTTAGTTGGTGGCAAAAAGAAGGCTACAGTGAAGACTCAAATCTCTTCTATCAGTCAGTTGCATAGTTCGCTCCACGGGGTGACCAAGTGTCTGCGGATGTTACCAAGCTCTTGATTATAAGATCTTTGCTCTGTGCTGTCTTATTGGGGTCAATGCATGCAGACCTAAAAAATCTAAGAATAATGATTTTTTTCCCCCAATTTTTGTTACTCAGTTGTGATTTAAGTGAATGCTCTTGTCTTTGAGCTTGCCTTTCATCTGCTGATTTGATACAGTGGAGGAGCAATTATTATACCAAGAGCGATTCTGCCACAACCCAGTGACACAATAGGCTAATGAGATGCTGTGTTTCTCTCCCTTGCAGTGGAACAGATCCTCCTGCAACTAAAAGTTTTCAGTGGTTTTCTCCCTTTCATCTCTCTACTCCTATAAAAAGGGACCAAAAGAGAGCCCTTTAAAATATCTAGTGACTTAAGGCCAAAACATCATTTCAAGGCTTAGATGACCCACTGGTCATATCATGAGCCAGGTGGTGCGTGTCAGTGGATTTGCAGGTCCTGTGGCACCTACTCCTGAGAATGTTACACAGAGACACCTGATTGAGTTTTTCCAAGGCCATAAATAAATGAGGAACTATTTCCTGCTACTGGGTACCTACTGATTATAGCCTGGTCTTCTAAATATTCTAAACAACCTGTTCTCTTAAATTCTGGAAAGAGTTCTGCAACTCCTGGGTGGTGGCCATTGGGGTGTTGGTACAAAGGCATTTATAAAGCTTCTATTCAAGCTGTTCTTAATTGTTGCTTGGCTTGACAGAATCTCTGTCATACACATAATGGTAGGTTCTTTCAGGCAAGGTCAATGGGGCATGCGTTATACTTCAAGCAAAAGAGAAAACTGCTATGCTCATTTTGTGGTCCTCTTTAATAGTACCTTCACATCATCGGCTGCCCTGCAGAATTAGCAGCTGCTTTGCGGTGCACATAACACAAAACCACTCTTGGAGTAACCTACCCTGAGCCTGCCTGCAGGAGGTACTGTGCTCGCAAGGTGGCAATGTGCTGAAAATAGGGGTGTTCTTCCTACAAAGGCCACTCCTCCAATAAGCCTTGGTCTTAATCCAGAAGCAGCCTTCTGGCTTGATGATGTCCAGTAGTCCACAGATATTTGGTTAAACTCGGGGACATAATGAGGAGCTGATTTCCAATGCTTCAAAACAAGTTAGATTTCTCTCACTCTATCATTTTCTTCTTGAAGGCTTATTTTCAGTTGAGAGGAAGGCAGCGTTCAGCATGCTGGCAACGAAACCCTAGTTCACCTGCACTTCACCTCTAGGTGAGCAGGGCCAGAGATCCTCAGCCTCTTTGCACAAATTACACACAATCTAAAGTTGCCTGGCTTAAGAGAGATGACAGAGGGCAAAACCAACTTGACAGTCTATTTTCAAGAGGGCCATAAGTAAGTTGTAGTTTAGAAAATGATACTTCTTTAGGTCCAGTAAACATTATTTAAGTCTTAAACCAGCAGCTGCATCATTCTTGGTAACAGAACTCTATTTTAAATTAAGAAAAATAAGACTAAACTGGGCTAGATGGATACTCTATATATTTAATCATACTATAAATTTATTAAATCGTATCAGTCAGAAGTATTCTAATATCAGCCAAAATACTTCTAAACTGAACTCAAGATGTTTTTATGTGGAGGGGGGACCAAAGAAGGAATGCGAAAAGGCTTAAAGTATGTCGAGGGTCCCTGAACAATTCAAACTGCGAGTCCCAGGTTTTACCATTTCTCAGTCTTTTGTCTGCATTCTCATTTGGGTCAGGCTATCGGTTTTAGATATTCCATTGAAATAAATAGAAAAATAGCTGCAAAGCTCAAAAGAGATTGTGATGGTTTCGGAGGGTGGGGTTTCAGCTTTTCAAAACCATAGACTTTCATTTCCTAATTGGACACCCCGGCCTTGAGCCTGCCCTGACTCTTGTAAATGAAATATAGCAGATACAGAGTGATCTAGCTTTCTGTGTCTTCTCCCTTCCCATCCCTTCTGTTTCCTTTTTTCCTTTTTTCATCCCCTTCCTTGTTGAACTTTCCAGAGAGCGTTTTTGTCTTTCATTCTCACTACTGGTAATCGCACACTTTCATACACACACACACAAACACACTGTCAGTCACCACCATCTACTACCTGCTGGTTATCAGTCTCCAAAGGTCACAGTCAGCCCCTCCCTGTCCCCGGGGTACAGATGGCACTGTTTGGCACTGAGTCTGGAATTGGCACCTCCGGGGTTTTGCATTTGCCTCCTGTGTGGCCTAATCAGTGGGCCCTCTTTTTCCCAAGTGCATTTTAGTCCTGGAGCCCCGAAGCGGGAGGCTGAAAGCAGAGGCCCCATCATAATGATTACGGGCAGGAGATCTGGGGGTGACTGAAACCACACATGCCCATGCCGTGTGCCTGGGGCACGGGAGGAAGGTGTGGACCCCGGGGCAGTTCAGCCCTCTTAACCTGGTACCATGGTCCTTGGAATGTATTCCTTCTGGAAGTCCCGATGAGCTTTGCACATTCCCCCAGGACACTAATACTGCATTTGCATCTTATTTTTATATAAAAAGTGAGGAAACGTGAAACACTTATACCAAATGAAGGTACAAGGCACCTGAGAAATTCTACAAATGAACAATTGCAGTCTTCCTCTGGGTATAAAACATTTCTAGGAGATCACAAGCCACACTTGCTGTTTTGTTTTTTCTTTTCCTCTCATTGGAAAAATCATTCATTCATTTAAGATGCCCATATTTGCAGCCACTCTTCAGAATTAACAATGTGGTGGGTAAAGCTCAGCCTCTGAATGGATGGCGATCCAGGACGAGCTGCCTTCAGGCTGCCAATTCTGTGGGGCATGCGCGTGCAGGCTCTCTGGCCAGGGAGGCACCGTGTGGTACATCTCCTCTGTTATCTGCTTGTTCAAATGCCACGTCACTGAATTTAACCATTCCACGAGTATTTCAAATATTAGGCAGTGCTCTTTTTAGGGCCCCATCCATCCTCTTTCCCTGATGTTCCCCGCCCCCCCCCCCCCAAACTCCTGTCCCTTCCCTCTAATTAGCAGTCAGGTGTTACAACCTCAGGAAAAAAACAAAACAAAACAACATTACAAAAACCTAATCTGTACCAATGAGAAGTCTTGACGGGGAGAAGGCCTTAAGGAAGGATGATGAGAGACGTCCTCCTCCCTGGGCTGTGCTGAACTTGGTGTCCAGCTACACGGCGGCAGTCATGGGGTTCTTCTGCCGGGGATCCTGGGTTCGGTAGGGGTACTGGTCTGGGCTGCCCCCTCGGGGCCCTGGTCTGCCCATTTCCTGATAGCCTGGCACCCTGTGGTGCTGAGGGGGCGAGGGCGGAACATCTTGTCGGAAGGGTCCTTTGTGCTGGGGGGCTGGCGGGGGTGGGTAGTACTGGGGATACCGGAGATCTGTGACCCTCAGATCCGGAGGGCGCGGATAGCTCCCTTTGGGAGGATGCACAGGGTGAGCTCCAGGGTAGTATGGAAGCTCCCTCTCCTTGTAGAGCCCTCGAGGCATTGCTGTCAGATAGTCTACAGGATCGGCTGGTCCTCCCCTGGAAAGAGAAGAACAGACACATATCAATAGCTACTAAGCTGGCAGCGCAGCTGAGACCCCATTTCTGTCTCCCATCAAGCCAAGCGACAATCAAGAACAGCTTGAATGGAAGCTTTGTAGATGCCTGTGTACCAGTCCTCCAAATGTCACTACCCGGACATTACAGAACTTTTCCCCGGTATTTAGGAAAACAGGTGTGGCCATCAGTGTGGCCAATGGGATGTGAGCAGAAGTGACACATGTCCTTAAAAAGAGAGGGAACCTTCTTCTTCCCTTCTCTCCTTCCTGTTGGCCAATGGAGTGGACACTTTAGACCACAGGGAAAGAGCCACAAGCTGAGGAAGGCAGAGCAGCAGAAGGCAACAGCCTGGGTCCTTGACGCCATGGAGCCACCCCATCAGCCAGGATAGCTTACGCTCAGACTGGTCCATGAGAGAAAAATATACTTCTGTCTTGTTCATACCCGCTTGTGCTGGCCTTTATTACCGTGGCCAAACTAGTTTCCTCAACAAGGCAGAGTCTGGCCCTCTTAAGGCCGTGATCACTCCACCCGTTCCCTTGGCCGCCTCTCTGAAGACAGCCCGGCACACAAAGGTGGGAATGTCCAGGTTACACAGAGGCATCAGGTTCCCATGGACTGCACTCCCTTCTCTCCCAGCTCTGTGGGTGCTCTTCACTTGGGCCACAGTCTTCGTCTGACTCTTTTTGTCTTCTGTCACATCCCTGTATGGATGAGTGTGCCCTTCCCTTCTTACAGGTCCTAGAAAAAGTCCTAACCCTGGGCTGGGAGTTACCTAGAACTTCGATAATACAGCAATTCCCCCGCAAAGTCAAGAGGCACCCCCCAGGCCAGGAGCAGAGTGGGAAAAGCCAAACCAGCTGTACGTTACACAGTGGAACCAGTAGGCACACAGAAAGGTCTAGGGCAAGAATAAACACTAACAGGAAGCGACCCTGTCTGGATCTTTCTGCTAAGACAACAAGCATCTTCTGATCCGCTTGCCATAACAGAAGCAATACGTCTCTAAACGATGTACAGATGACTGCATCTTATCTAGCCTGGGGTTAAACAGATGAGTTCTATTTCCAGCTCTTAAAATCCCATAAACCTTCTGTGCACATATACATCTCCCCCCCTCCAGATCCTTCCCACTTTTTACTCCTCCCCTCCTTTTATTATTTTCTTAAAGGAAAACAGCAATGATCGTAATTAGTGAAAAGCTTTCCACTGTCAGAATACGCGCGGGTAGGACACTTGAAAGAAATGACGGGGCTGGAAGGACAGAGCGTCTGTGGTTAATCAAACAGCATCAGCAAGGGTCAAAATCACCCTGTAATCTGCAGAGTTTGATGTTAAAACAGCTCTGGAAGTTCCCTCAATCAGTGAAGGGCCTTGACAAGCTCCAAGCTCCAAGCCCCAAGCATGTGGAAAGCAGCATGTGAGCACATTTATAAAGATGAACAATAGAATTCTCTCTCTACTTCTTTATGTCTTAATTTGGCTATGTATAATAATGAAAGATAGGTCCTCAACTTGGGGTAATTTAGTCGGTGAGAGTTTTCAGATAAAAAAATTAAATTGTTTACATACAAGTTATCATAGCTTCAACTGCTATTATTCAGTGCAGTGTGCTTTGCTCTATTTTAAATTGCCCATGACAAATCGAGCACAAATGCACGATCTGTCACTCCAGCCAGGGGAAATTAAGGATCAGGATTTCATCTTCCCTTTCCCTTCGAATTTTATTTTTGATTTAGGAAACTTCCAGCATTCATTATATCTTCTACCGTAAAATATTTGAAGCCCCCGGCCACCCCCGCACTCAATTCTGTTTCCTTTGGTTCATGTTAGAGATTTCCGAAATGCTTAAGAAGAAAAAAAATCCTTAACCTGTGCTTTCTCTCAAAATCTACTGGAGATATTTCTCTGCATGAAGTGAAACATGTGGTTTTTCTGTACTCATTTTAAGCCCTTGGGATAAATCACTGACATTTGCAACACACAAACATTATCTGCTTTCAAATGAACACACAGCCCATGCTCCCTCCGGACCCTCTTAGCCTGGATGTTTCCTGTTTAAAATGGAAAGAGAGAAAGGAGGAATTCCAGGCCTTGCACTTTTAGGGTCCTGTTCTCTCCCTGGAGGTTTCTCTCTTTTAAAACAGAACATTATAAAAGACAGGCACGCCTTTTTTTTTTTTTTTTTTTTTTTTTTAGAGAAAACCCAGATCAAGTGGTGACGGGGCAGAAGCCACCCTGAGAGCCACCATGATGGTGCACATGGGGAGAGTCACCATCTCTTCTCCCACACCTTGCCCCTGCGACTCCTCCACCTCTCAGGGCGAGGGCTGGGAGGGTTCCCCCGGGCACATGGGGCAGGACTCAGGAGAGCCCTGCGGTCCACGCCGCTTCCCCCGAGGGGAGATTCCGTGTCTGGGAGCTTGCTTACATGTGGCAGAAACCAAGTAAGGTAGCTGTTCTTTGTCAAGCAATGGAATCATGGAAATTGTCTCACTCTGTAGAACTCATCAAAACAGTTATCGTTTTTAATTTTTTGGAGAGAAGAAAAACAATGAGCTGGCCTATAAAAACACTGTTTAAGGTTCAAAGAGTGCTAGAAGAATTTTTCTTTCTTTGATTGGGGAGGAGGAGTTACTGTTGTGTATAACTTTGCTCAAAATTAAGCATTTTCTACAGAGTTTTCCCAGAGCATCTAAGTGCTTCTGAATATGGTATATATACACACACGCACACAAAGAAAGATTTTTAAATGGAAAAAAAAATAAGCCCTCCTCTTTAACTACAGGACTTGATAGGAAAAAGGAAGAAAGAAGGAGCTGAAATTTTAGCTTAGTTAATCTTGAGTTTCCCTATTCAAGGTTTCTTTATTTGGGTGGAATTTCCTATTGGTAGGAAAACCAATCTATTCTGGGGCCCAAGAAATGCTTATCACAGTGACCAGTACTCTGTGTTTTGAGCCAACCCTGAGAAATCCAGGCAGCTTCCTCTGGAGATTCTGATGCAAACAGGATCCAAACAGAAAGTGTATCAGAACTTCAAGACCCCTCATTTCTCATGTGATCTCATGATTTTCATTTGTATGTGTTATTGTTTTTCTTAAAAACAATTTCCCATTGAAAATCTTGCCCAGAAACTATATTTACTTAAGGAAAGAGAAACAAGCCTATATTTGCTTTCTTTATAATATAACTCTTTGAGAAAGCTGTCATAAAAATATTTATATTTTAAAATTTCACTTATCTTTTCATGTTTTCCACTCTTTATTTTTTTTAAATTTTACTTTTGATGAGGCTCATTTTGAGGCCAAAAAGATTCAGATTTTTCTTGGAAAACTCACAAGAACTCTCTCAGGCACACAGTTTCCAATCTCATAGATGCATGAAATAATGAATGTTAACCTTTAGGTCTAAACATGAGAAAGCCACGTGACACTGACATGGGAAGAAACAATAAGGATCACTTTCTTTGTATGAGGTTTTCCTCTTTTTGCAATTTCGGTGTCACCATTTTTCATTAAACAAAAAACGGAGCTGAAAATCAGCGGCTAAGCAGGTCAGAGAGGCAGCCCCTAGGCACCAACGGGCTTCATTCTAGGGGAGGATGGAAGGCATGTGCCTACATTTGCTAAGGCAACCCCATATGGGGAAAGGGCTCAGTACTGGGTGAACTGAGCCACTGAAAACCCTTTTAGCTAGGAATGAGGTGGCTATACTTCCTATACTCACTGGAATAGATGAAGGGGCATGAGCAATTTTGAATCGTCCCAACTGCATTTCCCTGCCTCTCCCCTCCGCTCAATTGCACGGAAAATCCCTCTGTTCTGCACACACTACAGCCAGTCATTCTCCCCTCATCTGTTTTTCGCCCTGCCTTGTGGCTAGTTTACCTACTGCACTGGAGCACAAGCATCTTGAAGGAAGGAACTGAGCCTCATATATTTAGTGATCTCCCTCAGAGCTTAGCACAGAGCTTTGACCCTCACAGGTGTCCCATAAATGTATGTTGAATTTATTTAAGGGAGTTTCACGTAAAGAGAAAGCCCACAAACAGACCCAATAACCAGAGGGTCAGATGTGGGGGCTGGAAGTTGGTAGGCAGTTAGAGGAATAAAAGGAGAAAGTGGACTTTCACTGAGATCCAGAGACCACAGTGGAGATCCTGAAGTAAGGCTACTCTCTAATTTTTAAAAAAGTAGGCATGGAGAGAGGAGTATGGGCTAAAAAAAGGGTTGGATTGAGTCCAACACTGGCTGACCATAAGCACTACTAGGGCACAGATTATTACATGAGGTCCATCCAGAAAAAGTCCAGCTGTTGTTAACACAATGAGAATGGTTTACATGACATCGATGTAACCTGGCAGCCAAGGAGAGTGGACTGGAATGTGCACACATGAACAATGGTGACTTCACTGTACTAGTCAGTGGGGGTGGTAGAGGCTATTGAGTGAACATGTGTACTGTGTAGTCATTGCATTCAAAAAGACTGAATGAATAGAGCAATGAATTTGCATCAGATTTTGTGTTAGCTTGACTATTCCTCCATGGAAATGATTTGGATGATTTAGAAAGCCTCGCAGGTATGGACAACTGGTGATTGGCAGCTTTATCACAGCAACACACCTGTTCATGTATCACAACGCGTGCAGAGCTGTTTGGTTAAACATCAAATCACTCAGGTGACTCAGACCCCCTGGAGCCTTGGTGCCCTGAGACCTCTGGCTTTTCCTAAAACTAAAATCACCTTTGAAAGGGAAGAGATTTCAGACTGTCAATGAGGTTCAGGAAAATATGACAGGGCAGCTGATAGCAATTGGGAGAACTGTGTGAGGTCCCAAGGGGTCTACACTGAAGGGGACTGAGGTGTCATTGTCCTATGTACAATGTTTCTTATATCTTGTATCTTCTTCAAGAAATGTCTATTTCTCATATTACATGGCTGGATACCTTCTGGACAGATCTTGTTTATGTCTTGTTT